ACACTTGTGGTTGGCAAAGCGCAGATTGCCCATTGCGTAGCTTGCACTTAAACACAAATAAAAACGTTAGTGTGTTTCACAATTATGTACTCATGTTTTTCATAAATATCTTAAGCTGAACATTTTTTATTGGTGAATTTTCTAAACTTAATATATTAATTTGATTTTAGGATTGTTATATTTAATAGCTGTATTTACTAATTTGATACTTTTGTTGTTATAAATATATATATATATCTATTTTTTCATACAACATTCCTTTCATTTGTCCTTCTAATATTTTTATTGTGATTATGTTGTTAAAATCACTTTTTTTAACTTTTATTTATAATTTGATAGAGAATTTGTGGCCAAACACATTTTAATTTTCCAAATCTGTTTGTTTATTAAATTCCGATACATCTTTGGTTATATTTTATTCGGTTCATTCTAAATTAGTTGTTTACGCGTTTAAATAACGTTTCTTTTGATGCTTATGTCTAAGTTTCTTGGCTGATGTGTATAGCCTACGGAGATAGTTTTTGAAAATTATGATGTGGTTAAGTAAAGTCATAATTTGGCTTTTAGGATTTAAGTTTGGGGCTCTACGAAGACCTCGAGTTTAAGGAAGGTTAGGCCTAAGAAAGCCCTGAGTTCAAGGAAGGTTAGGACCTAGGAAGATCTTGAGTTTAAGGAAGGGGAAATTCTCACAGTTGAAAGAACAAATATCTTTTACCTTCTCATAACCAGAAAGAATGTATTTGTATTTAGATGTAATGAGGTAAATTAAAAACAAAAATGTACAGATGTTTTACATTTAGTTGATTTGCGTCCTCGTAAACAAGATCGTTAAATTGTGCTAATCTCTGTCTACGACAAAGGTTACATATCATAATGATTGTTCATAAAGTTTATACTTGCTTGACCACGTTTCTGTACCACATCTCCACTAGAGTATAGCCACACTGAAGTCTAGGGGCGGTAGAGATTTGTGGAGGTATTGTTTCCCTTGAATATATAACGTGAATGACCGTTGACGTTACAATGACGTTGGTAATCCTAAATTTTGGTATAACGTACTAGGACTTTGGTCTGACTTAATAGTATGGTACCATCATTATTCTTCTTTCATTCCTCGTCTCATGTAGACGTATCTCATTTTCTCTCAGCCAGAAGTAATACAACAAATTTTGAATCCTGTCAGTATAATAAGACTCCAGTACCTTATTTGCGTGTGTGTGTGTGAAAAATGATTCCCCCCCCCTTTTTAGTTTAACATGTGTAATTTAGACTTTTCTTTTGCTGTCCCATGTTCAGTATGTTTTTTGCAAAACATTATCTAAATCTGTCTTATTATACATTACTTGTTGGAAATGAATTAACCGAATACCACAAAGTTCAAAACAGAAACAGCGATTAACTTGAACCTGTTGACAAGGAAAGAACTGTAGCAGTAAAGTATTATGTTCTTCCAATATGGAGCATAACGAATATATTTTAATGTCCTTAATTTTATTTTGCTATGAACAAAGTAAACACACACATAAATATTAAAGTCAATCGCAGCAAGAGGAAATGCACACTTCGTGTTATAAAGTTTCTTAATATTTTATGGAACAGAGAGCTCAAGTCCTCCACACAGAATATCTACACGTTTCATATTTAATTCTTACCCTTTTCTTTCAAACGAAGTATGCCGATATCTTAGAGAGAGCTTGGAAGTGTACTATATAGCACATCAGCCCAACTACTTATAAACCTTTGCCTTCTAACCTGTTTCTACGTAGGGCCCTATTCTTTTACTCAGCGTATTGAGGGAAACCCATATCGGTATACTAGAAATTTTTATTCTTACCCTTGCATATAATGTGTATGAAACAGGCTTCGAACATCTGAGATTAAGCGTTGTGATCGCCTAGGAGATGCATTTACTCCTTTTCCTAGTCTAGTATACGTTTGTACACGATAGTATTACGATGCTTGTTTATCATTTGAATGTAATCACCTCAATATAATATGTAGCACTTGGTGTTATTAACTTTCATAGCGGTTTATAGAATGGCTGTTTTTTTTTTAAGTACAAACTTTTGGCTTACAGCGCCATCTCTTGACCTAGTTGAGACCTAATTAGGGCCGCAGCCTTTGAGGATTCCCTCATGTTTGTGATTAAATGTTACTCTAATTCCTTGTGATTATAAATGCTATAGAGACATGTCTAAGTGTAAGAAATAAAATAACTCATTGGTGAAGTTGTACAGTTTTATAAACGTCAGGAATATTGCTATTATCTCATATTGTAGAAAAAGGAAAGAACATCTAAAACGTCAATCATTACATAGTTTTCAACAAAAAAATTACCATCAGCACCTTCTAGAATATAGACTTAACTATGTGAAATAATAAACTCGGGTTTACTGTAATTATGGATACATTATGTTTAAATACACAACTAGATGACAGGTTAGCCATATAAAAAGTTCTTTAAACACATCAGAGACTTGAGAAACTTTAACAGAACATACATACTCTTCTTGTATCAAAATATTTCAATAATAAATTGCAAAGAACAAGCTTGTACCTAAGCTACTAAACCTTCTAACACATGCCTTATAATTATTCAAGTCACTATTTTCAGTTTTGTATCTTCAGAAATCAAAGTGTTAATAAGTAAACAATCCAATCTCTTAACTATTTATAACACCAAAATTGTAATAATGTTACGTCTCTGGTCGTTAGTTAATTTTCCGTAAATTCGTTCCGACGAAACTTTAGCGAAACAAATCCTTTC